AGTAGCTGGAACTACAGGCGCGCGCTACCACGCCCGGCTAATTGTTGATTTATTGTAGAGATGAGGTCTCGCCAAGTTGCCCAGGCGGGTCATGAAAGCAGTCTTTTTTCTTTTCTTTTTTTTAATGCACTTTACCTCATGTGGAGAAGGAGCTCTAAAAAGTGCCTTAATCACTGTCTACCTCATACAAACCAAGATTATCAGGATCTACTCATTTTTTAGGACGAATTTGGTTGCTCACACCCAGAAACAGGTAATTATGTCAGTAAATGGCATCAAACAATATAGATTTGCATGACTATTACATGTACACTGCACACAAAATAAAAAACTTCTGGTTTAACTAGGCTCTCTTGGAAATGTCCAGGAATGAGAAGTGAACCCTTTAGGGCTAGAAGCTGGGACAACAGGTCAAAGACTTCAAGGACAAACTGCTACACCACCTGCTGCGCCGAATGTGACCTCTTACTTTAAGCCAGTCTTTCACTGCTCCTATTTTTATGTTGGTGACTATCACTGTCAGGGTCTCTGAAAACTCAGTTTTCAAAATAATTTTATTCAAGGGTACATTTCCAGACTTACCAAATCCCAAACGGCTTTACAATAAATTTTTGTTTTGTGAGAAATGAGCACCAATAAATCCCTACATCTTAAATACACAAGGACAACCTTCAGACACATACAGAAGACAGTGTCACAGATACTTCCTCCTTACCTGGGCAATGGCTGCTTCGTTATCAGCTAATCCCAACAGGAAGATCCGCACTTTATCGATCTTCACTGGAACTGTTCTCCCTCTCCACTCCACTTCACTCATGGTAGCCGCCTGTTTGGCTCGAGTCTGAGTGATCAAAGCCTGGAAAGTAGTTTTTAAAAGTTAAAGCTTTGCCATGCGTGGTGGCTAACACCTGCAATCCCAGCGCTTTGGGAGGCAGAGGTGAGAGGACTGCCTGAGCTCAGGGGTTTGAGACCAGCCTGAGCATCATGGCAAGACTTCATCTCTACAATAAACAAAAAAAATTAGTCGGGCATGGTGGCACGCCTGTAGTTCCAGTTACTTGGAAGGCTGAGGCAGAAGGATTGCCTGAGCCTAGCAGGTCGAGGTTGCGGTGGCTGTGAATGTGCCACTGCACTCCAGCCTGGATGACAGAGTGAGACTGCCACTCAAAAAAAAAAAAAAAAAGTTAAAGCCTTAACTGTGGATATGAGTTGAGAGGTGAAAGTAAGTAGAACCTATTATTTGTCTCTTTCTATAACCAGCATATTACACCCATAAGAGAGTAAACACTGATTTCTGTTTATTTTAAGTTCTTCCCTAGTATAATATATCTTAGCTTATGGAAACGCAAATAGTAAAAGAACATAACAGAAGGTTAAAAAGAGCTGCATCAAGTTTTGGTAAGGATGTGAAGAGAAAAGTATCATCCGTATACACTTCAAGCAGAAATACAAATTTGTAGAAACGTAAAAGATATTTGTCAGTATGTATCAAAAGCTTCCCAAATATTCAATTTCAAAACATTCAATTTTAGGAATATTTCTTATTTATTTATTTATTTTTAAAAGAGATAGCATCTCACTCTGTTGCCCAGGCTGGAGGTGTGATCATAGATTACTGCAGCCTCAAACTCTTGGGCTCAAGGGAGACCCCCACCTCAGCCTAAGTAGCTAAGATTACACATGCATGCCATCATACCTAGCTAATTTTAAGGTATCACTATGTTGTACAGGGCTGCTGTAAGGAAATAATTAAAAATATGTGCAAAAACTGGACACAATGGGTATTCATGGTAATACTGTGTACCACTTAATGAACAATAGCAAAGCGGCTGAATAAAACAGACTTCTGCACAATGGACTACACAAAGCCATCAAAAGATGATAGTGTAGAAATATATTGATTAAAGTAGGAAAAAATGCATGTGACATTAAATTTAAAAAGCAGGTTACTAAACAGTGTACACTAAGATTTCATTTTTAAAATATATACCTTTTCTGTATACACAGAAAAGTCTGCAATATATTTACATTATTAAGTGGTTACCTCTGTTTTATTTATTATTAAGTGATAACCCATATGATTTCTTTTTTTCCTCAATCTTTTATATTTCTTGATTTTTTTTTTTTTTTTTTTTTTAGAGACAAGGTCTCACTCTGTTGTCCAGGCTGGAGTGGAGTGATGAGATCATGGCTCACTGCACCCTTGAACTCCTGGACTCAAGTCATCTTCCCTCCTTAGCCTCCCAAAACAGCTGGACTACAGGTATGTGCCACCATGCCCAGCTAATTTTGTTATTTTCTGTAGAGATGGAGTCTCAGTATGTTGAACTTCTGGTCTCAAGTGATCCTCTTGCCTCAGTGCTAGGATTACTGGTGTGAGCCACTGTGCCCAGCCCTTTCTTACCTTTTCTATGAGTCTATATTACTTGCCTAAAGAATAAACATAATGAGGTTTAAAAGTTGAATACTAAAAGTGTTAATTTTAAAAAAAGATTTTTTAGCTGGGCTCGGTGGCTCAGCTTGTAATCCCAGCATTTTGGGAGGCTGAGGTGAGTGGACTGCCTGAGCCCGCGGGTTCGAGACCCGCCTGGGCAACTTGGCGAGACCTCATCCCTACAATAAATCAAAAAGTAGCCGGGCGTGGTAGTGCGCGCCTGTAGTTCCAGCGACTTGGAAGGCTGAGGGCGGAAGGATCACCGGAGCCCAGCAGGTCGAGGCTGTGGTGGCCGGGAGCGGCCACTGCACTCCAGTCTGGGTGACAGAGTGAGACTCTAACTCAAAAAAAAAAAGAAAAAAAAAAAAAGATTTTTTTGTTAAAACCTTTAACAAACATAGGCATTTGCTAACATAAATATACATAAAATATACAAATATAAATACATATATTTATAGGTATAACACATATACATATAAAAATATATAACATAAACATATAGATATATCTATTTATATATACTTATATATAACATATATAAAAATAAGCAAATAGTAATAGAAAATATCCCTGGGGGATTATGAATTACTTCTGAACTTTTCCAAGTCAAATATTTTTTTCCCAAAAATACACACTAGATTACCTCCAATTTTTCAGCCAGAAGACCCTCAGTGCCCCCAGACCTCAATCTCATCTGCATGAGTTCATTGATAGCTGACTGGTCCCCTGAGAGAGAAAGACAGGAAAATCTTCAAGGGTCTAGTCTATTTTCCCAAGAATCAGATTCAAGTCAGATTTAGATGAGCTCTTCCCCGTCAACATGCACACTTCAATGAATCTGCAGACAACTTTTTTTTTTTTAGTTGGAGTCTCACTCCATCACCCAGGCTGGTGCTTGGCTGGTGCAGTAGCATGCTCATGGCTACCCCAGTATCAACCTGCTGGGCTCAGGTGATCCTTCTGCCTCACTCAGACTTCCACGTAGCCGGAACTACAGATGTGTGCTAGCTACCATGCCTGGCTAATTTTTTGCAAGGGGGGGGGTTATTGTAGAGATGAGGTCTCACCAAGTTGCTCAGGCTGTTCTCGAACCCGTGGGCCCAGACAGTCCCTCCACCTTGGCCTCCCAAAGTGCTAGGATTACTGGCTTGAGTCACTCCACCCGGCTCAGACAAGTCTTTTACACAGAATGAATTTGGTTGGGACAGTGAAGATACTTTTTATGGTAGACACATATCATATACATTTGTCCAAACACACAGAATATACAATATCAAGAGTGAACCTTAATGTACACTATGGACTTTGGGAGATTATGATGTGTCAGTGTAGATTCAACAATTGTAAACAATGTCTCACAGCCAGGCTCGGTGGCTCAGCCTGTAATCCCGTGCTTTGGGAGGCTGAGGTGAGTGGATTGCCTGAGCTCACGGGTTCGAGACCCACCTGGGCAACTTGGCGAGACCTCATCTCTACAATAAATTAAAAAAAAAATATCCGGGCATGGTAGCACACGCCTGTAGTTCCATCTACTTGGAAGGCTGAGGTGGAAGGATCGCTGGAGCCCAGCAGGTCGAGGCTGCGGTGGCCGGGGGCGGCCACTGCACTCCAGTTTGGGTGAGGGAGTGAGACTCCAATTCAAAAACAAAAAACAAAAAACAATGTGTCACTCTGGTGGGGGGTGATAATGGGAGAAGGCTAAGGATATGTGGGAGTGGGGTCACATGGGGAATCGCTGTACTTTTCTCTCAGTTTTCCTGTGAACCTAAAACTGCTCCAAAAAAGTAAAAAATGAACTCTGCTGGGGCTCCAGACTGTTCTTGGGGAGGACAGAGGAAAGCAGGATGGACACAGAAGCAAAGAAACTGCCTTCTGTAATCTTGAGCAGGGCTGACTTTGACCCGTTCTACTTTTGTCATCAACCAAAACTCAAGCCAAAGATGGATGCAAGGGATGGGGAAGACGGTTAAATAAACTCTTCAGGCTGTCTGAAATGAACTCTCAGCAAGCCTTCTGTCAACGCTCAAGTTGGGTGCAATGCCTCAGTCCCAGCTCACCAATATTATATGCACAGTAGCGGATGTTGGGCGAGATCTCCTCCACACGCTGGTTATACAGCACAGCCTGCTCTTCTGTGAAAGCACTGGCTAGCTTCTCGTAGATAGTTCTGCAAGGAAAGAAATGTCAGGTTTTTCAGTAGGAATGCAGTGGCTAAAAACAAAACAAGGTCCTTTGAAGCTCTTCTACCAATTACCAGAACTGGCAAGTCCTAAGGATGAAAGAAAATAATCACCATTTGTATAAGGAAAAAAAATTGTCCTAACTTTCCCATGACACGACCTGCAACTTGACTTTGTCTATAATCAAAACTGGCCACAGCCTTTGGGCTACAGGACTTACTTGCATTTGTTAAAAGCCTCAATTGCAGCTTTCCATTCTTGATGCTCAAAACGAAGCATTCCTGAGAGGTAAGCTGTATAAGCCTAGGAGGAAATGAAAAAGAAGAACCACTTTAATACCAAACAATCAGCGCTTCTGCTCGATCTTCCTCTACTGGCTTCTAACTTGGACATAAAAAACATGGATAAACTGGGCTCAGTGGCTCAGCCTGTAATCCCGCGCCTTTGGGAGGTTGAGGTGAGTGGATTGCCTGAGCCCGCGGGTTCGAGACCCGCCTGGGCAGCGAGACCTCATCTCTACAATAAATCAAAAAAAAAAAAAAAAAAATCAACCGGGTGTGGTAGCGCATGCCTGTAATTCCGGCTACTTGCAAGGCTGTGGTGGCCGGGAATGGCCACTGCACTCTAGTCTGGACGACAAAGTGAGACTCCAACTCAAAAAAACAAACAAACAAAAAAAAAGGATATATACAGCTTGATTTTTAAAAAGAAATACTCATTTAATTTAAAAAATGTGATACATGGCCATGTATGGTGGCTCACACCTGTAATCTCAGCACTTTGGGAGGCTGAGGTGGAAGGATCACTTGAGCCCAGAAGTTCGAGATCAGCCTAGGCAACATAGCGAGACATCACCTCTACAAAAAATAAAAAAATTAGCTGAGCATGGTGGTCTGTGCCTGTAGTCCCAGCTACTTGGCAGGCTGAGGCGAGAGGAATGCTTGAGCCCAAGTGTTTGAGGCCATGGTATGCCATGGATAGCCACTGCACTCCACCCTGGGTGACAGAGTGAGACCCTCAACTCAAAAAATAAAAAAATAAAAAAAGTGATACATAGGTAATTTATTATGATTCATTTACTTTCCAGGAGAGAACTACAAAATAAAAGAAATGTGCTCTCTTCATTTTACTTAACAACCAGTTTCTGGATTATAATATAAGCATCAAAAGTTGAATATAAACTTGCAATATCTGTCATCTCTTTTTTTAAAAATCCATTTCCAAAAAAATTCTTATTTTGTAAACTTTTCCAGGTAAAAGATGCAAAGTTTTCACCTATGTATGAAAAGAAAGAATGACCAGACTGAACAACTTAGTAAGACCTTATCTCTACTTAAAGAGTACAAAAAAGCCGGGCTCGGTGGCTCAGCCTGTAATCCTGCGCCTTTGGGAGGCTGAGGTGAGTGGATTGCCCGAGCCCACGGGTTCGAGACCCGTCTGGGCAGCGAGACCTCATCTCTACAATAAATAAAAAAATCAGCTGGGTGTGGTAGCGCATGCCTGCAATTCCGGCTACTTGGAAGGCTGAGGCAGAAGGATCGCCGGAGCCCAGCAGGTCGAGGCTGCGGTGGCCGGGAGCGGCCACTGCACTCCAGTCTGGGCGACAGAGTGAGACTCCAACTCAAAAAAACAAAAAAAAAAAAAAACAAGAGTACAAAAAATTAGCCAGGCATGGTGGCATCCACCTATAGTTCCAGCTAACTAAGGAGAATGAGGTGGAAGGATCGCCTGAGCCTAAGAGATTGAGGCTGCACTGAGCTGTAATCACACCACTGCACTCTAGTCTACAAGAGAGTGAGACTCTGTTGCAAACAAAACAAAACAAAAACATGACCTTTCTTGAAAAGTTAGAGCTAACTATAAAAAACTTCATAGGCCAGGGCCAGATGTGGTGGCTCACATGAGGCAAGAGGACTGACTGAGCCCAGGGGTTCGAGACTAGCTTGGGCAACTTGGCAAGACCTTGTCTTTACAATAAATCAAAATATTAGCCAGGTGTGGTGGCGCACCTGCAGTTCCAGCTACTTGGAAGGCTGAGCTGGAAGGATTGCCTAAGCCCAGAAGGTCAAAGCTGCAGTGGCCATGAACCTGCCATTGCATTCCAGCCTGGGCAACAGAGTGACATTGCGACTCAAAAAAAAAAAAAAAGCCAAAAAACGAAGAGCTGAAAAACAAAAGACACTTCACCATTTAAAAGCAAGTACAGGCCAGGCTCGGTGGCTCAGCCTGTAATCCCAGCACTTTGGGAGGCCGAGGTGAGTGGATTGCCTGAGCCCGCGGGTTTGAGACCTACCTGGGCAACGTGGCGAGACCTCACCTCTACAATACATAAAAAATTAGCTGGGTGTGGTAGTGCGCACCTGTAGTTCCAGCTACTTGGAAGGCTGATCGCTGGAGCCCAGCGGGTAGAGGCTGCAGTGGCCAGGAGTGGCCACTGCACTCCAGTCTGAGCGACAGAGTGAGACTCCAACTCAAAAAGAAAAAAAAAAGCAAGTACAAAAAGCTTTTTCCTCTCCTATCAATTTATAACATAAGAAACACTGTTCTATTTAACTATAGTTTTTCTTTTTTTGAGTCACAGCTCTAATCTCCACAATTAAAGCAAACTGGATGTTAAGACACAAACCTGAGCCTCTAACTTGGTCTTGGCATCCACGCGATTGCTCTCACACAAGCGTTCCAATTCCTCTGCATGCTTTACAGCTTTGCGTAGGCGAGATAACAAGTGAAACCGTTTTCGGGGTTCAGTATTGGCTTCTTGTTTGAGCTGCATGGCATAGCTCCAGGCTCTTTCGGCATCCATCAGAACCAGAAGCAAATACCTAGACCAGAGAGAGAAGATGGGAGACCTGAACAATAAAGGCCAGGAGCATCAAATTCAGATATACTCTTTGAGGTGTAATCTTCAGCCTCTTGACTTTTCTATTTTCCTTCCCATTCTTCTCTCAATACTATTCTTCTGATAACATCAGCCATGACTCCCAAATCAGCATCTCTGATCTCAACGAGGGCTCCACTTCGGGTTCTTTTTTTTTTAAGTTGGAGTCTCACTCTGTCACCCAGACTAGAGTGCAATGGCTGCTCCCAGCCACCGTAGCCTTGACCTGCTGGGCTCCGGCGATCCTTCCGCCTCAGCCTTCCAAGTAGCTGGAACTACAGGTGCGCGCTACCACACCCGGCTAATTTTTGATTTATTGTAGAGATGAGGTCTCGCCAAGTTGCCCAAGCGGGTCTTGAGCCCACAGGCTCAGGCAATCCACTCACGTCAGCCTCCCAAAGTGCTGGGATTACAGGCTGAGCCACCGAGCCCAGCCCACTTCAGGTTTCTAATCACCAGTTAGACACACGTCATTGAAAAGCCTCTACCACCTCAAACTTGGCAAACTAAGAATCTTGACCTACCGCTCCTAAGTTATGTCAAACAGAGGCAGTCTAGGCACACAACCTGGCCACATCTTTGAACCAACACCTCCTTCATCCCAACCCAGTTAGAAACCAAGTCCTTAAGAGGCAGTATATTGAAGTAGTAATGAACAAGGGCTCCAGAGCCTGGGTTGGAATTCCAATGCCATCACTCGCTAGCTATGGAACTACTAACCATTCTGTGCCTTGCTCTTTCAAGTAGTCAAATAACACACTTAGACCAGAGCAGGAGGACCACTAACTATTGGCACTAAGAGTTCAATAAGTTAGCTACTTTATTACTATAATGGTGAATCTTTAACTACTGCCTTGAACTTAAACTTCAGCTTAATCTTGCCTCTTCTGAGTTAAGGATCTTGCTATAGGAAGAGAGGTCAAGATTTCTTTACTTAATTTCTGACTCTTCTAACTGGATCTCATTAGATTTAATCCTCACATGCTGATACATCCCATCATGGTGTCCATGCTCTAGATTTCTGACTGTGCTCTTGACCTCTCACTGCCCGAGTAGCAGCTAACAACTGTCCAGAACTTCAGTTCCTTGACTGCACTCACAGACACCAGGGCATGCTGTTTCCCTTACACAGAATGTTCTTCACTCTCACAAATCCTTCAAGGTCAAGCCTGCTCCATGCAGGCTTACTGATTTCCCTGTCAAGTGCCCAAGCTTTTTCCTTTCTAAGAATTCAGAATGCTTAATTAAGTAGATGATGTACAACATGGCACTTTTGCTACCTTGCAATGTTCCCTGGTTTTGCATTTGACCAATACCTCTCAACAAGATCAGAGTCCACAAAGTTCAAGAACTGTGCCTCCTCTCCCTCCTATATCCAACATGGTATCTAGTTCTGCCCTGGCCATATTACACCACAGGGCAGCAAACTGTTTTGTAAAGGGTTCAACAGTATATACTTTAGGCTTTTCAGGACATGTGGTCTCTGTCACAAATACTCTGCTGCTGTAGCACAAAAGCAGCTAGAAAAAAATATCTAAATGAATAGGCATGGTTGTGTTCCAATAAAACTTTATTTATATCATCAGGTGGCAGGAGGACAATCTGGCCCATAGGCTGGGCTGAAATCTGAGGAAGGCCTGGAGATTTTCAATATATGGTTTTTTGCTTTTTGGTGTTTTTTTGAGTGGGAGTCTTACTCTGTTGCCCAGGCTCGAGTGCAGTTGCAAGACCAAGGATACCACACTCTTGATCTACTGGGCTTAGCAAATGTTAAGCACTGGTGCATTCAGCACTGAAATACAGACTCTTCTCTAATAATGACATGTCATCATTAAGATATTTTTTTCCCCAGATGAAACAGGCTCAGATATTAAGAAATATTGATTTAAGCACTTAGTTTTAGATAAAATTTGCATTCTAGAAATCTTACCTAATAACTAATTAGAACAGTTCTTGAACAAGTCATTGAGTATCTCTGAGCCTCAGTTTCCTCACCTTAGAACACAGGAACAGTAAACAATCCCACAAAGCTGCTAAAAGAGTCATATGAGATAATTAAAGGGTGTAGCACAAAGTCTCACACATTGTCATTGTTCAATAAATGTATTAGCAAGATCTAACTAGTAACTAGCACTAAGCCATCAATACCTATTATCAGTCAGAAGATCTTCAGTCACTTTTTTCCCTGTGAATTTGTGTCTGTTCCCCATCTTGAAGTTAAGTGTTTTTCGAAGACGTCTTTGTCTGCGAGAACAGTAGCCCCTATAAGAAACCACAAACAAAATCCATTCAGCCAAGCTAAGAGTACTTTGAATAGCAAATTCTGTAATAAGGCAAGGTCAAAGGTTACTACAGATATCACACATCAGCTACCACACGCGTATTGAACTACTAAAACATGCAGGGCAATATGGTTAATGTTATAGGAAACACAAAGAGAGAGAGGACACAGTGCCTATTCTCAAGGAACCCAGACTCTAGATGGGGAGGACCATGCAGATAAAATGGCATCCAAGAATACAAGGCAAATGAATGGACGTAAGTAATCATTCTCTTCTCATTGACACCTTTGGCTGGAGTGGACTGATGATGGACCTGGAAAGAATGAATAGGATTCTAATGGACACAAAGGAGACTGGGTTGACAATGAGGAAGACTGGGTTGACAATGAAGACACAGAGAAAGGAACTGTAAGCATGCTGAAAAAAATGAGGAGGCCAATTAGGATGTCACCAAAAAACACTATTAATATCACCTCTATGCCAAGTCTCCCTCCTCTGTGCTCATGCAGCTCTTCATTCCCACTTCGATTATAGTATATGGCATTACAATTATGTTCTTTTTTTTTTTTTTTTGTTAGAGTCACCCAGACTGGAGTGCAGTGGCATACTCATGGTCACCCAGTGTAGACCTGCTGGGCTCTGAAGATCCTTCCGCCTCAGCCTTCCAAGTAGTTGGAACTATAGGCGTGCGCTACCACACCTGGCTAATTTTTTATTTATTATAGAGATGAGGTCTCGTCAAGTTGCCTGGGCTAGTCTCGAACTTGTGGGCTCAGGCAATCCATTCTCCTTGGTCTCCTAAAGTGCTGGGATTATAGGCTGAGCCACTGGGCCTGACCACAATTATGTTCTTACATTATAATTATGTTCTCTAATATAAACTCCTTTAGTACAGGAGGGATTTTTTTTTTTTTTTGAATTGGAGTCTCACTTCGTCGCCCAGGCTGGAGTGCAGTGACATACTCATGGCCATCGCTTGCTGGACTCAAGCGATCCTTCCTCCTCAGCCTTCCAAGTAGCCAGAACTACAGGCACACACCACCACGTCCAGCTGATTTGTGGTAGAGATGAGGTCTTGCCAAGTTGCCCAGGCTGGACTCAAACCTGTGGGCTCAGGCAATTCTCTCACCTCGGCTTCCCAAAGTGTTGGGATTACAGGCTTGGGCCACCGTGCCCAGCTGGAATTTAATTTAATTTTTTTTTTTTTTTTGAGTTGGAGTCTCACTCCGTCGCCCAGACTGGAGTGCAGTGGCCGCTCCCGGCCACCGCAGCCTCGACCTGCAGGGCTCCGGCGATTCTTCCACCTCAGCCTTCCAACTAGCCGGAATTACAGGCATGTGCTACCACGCCTGGCTGATTTTTTGATTTATTATAGAGAGAGGTCTCGCTGCCCAGGCGGGTCTCGAACCCGCCGGCTCAGGCAATCCACTCACCTCAGCCTCCCAAAGGCACGGGATTACAGGCTGAGCCACCGAGCCTGGCTTGGAATTTCATTTTTAAGTTTCCCCTAATGCCTTAGCACAGTGCCTAGCACATAGATATTCAATAAACATATATTTTTACTAAATTAGTATAAAAATACACACAAAGTTTTACCAATCCTTAAATCAAAATAATACAGCATACAATTTTCAATACAGAAATGATATTTAAATATTATATTAGCATCTCAGTTTGAAAACTACCAGGGCATAGGTTATTAAACAAAAGAAATAAACCAGGTACAGTGGTTCATGCCTATAATTCCAGCTACTCAGGAAGATGAGGCGAGATGATGGCTTGACCCGATAAGTTTGAGACAGAACAGTCTGGGTAATATAGTTTGACTCACACCTCTTTAAAAAATATCCCTAATATAGCCATGTATGGTGACTCATGCCTGTAATCTCAGTACTTTGGGAAGCAGAAGTGAGAGGATTGCCTGAGTCCAAGGGTTCGAGACCAGCCTGGGAAACTTGGCAAGACCTCATCTCTAAAATAAATTAAAAAAAATTAACCGGGCGCAGTGGCGCACACCTGTGGTTCCAGCTACCTGGAAGGCTGAGCCAGAAGGATACCTGGGCCCACTCCAGCCTAGGCATCAGAGTGAGACTCTGGATCAAAAAAAAAAAAAAAAAAAATCCCGAAATCAGCTTTAATTATCATTTATCCTTTTACATACAAACCAGATGGGACATATACATTATGAGTAGAAATACAAACTGATAAACTTTTCTGGCAGTATGAATGAATTTATCAAGATCCCTAAAAATATTTATACTCTAAACCAACAGTCTACTGCTATACTACAATATGCTAAATAGTCAGAAATACAAATAGGTATGAACAGATTCATGAGAACTAAATTTTCAAGTCTACAAAACTAGCTACTATATAAATAACCAACTTAGGGGAAATAGGTAAATAAATTACGGTATGCCTATACATTGGATTATAATGCAACTAATAAAAATCATGTGTGTGAGACATTTTTTTTTTTGAGCTGGAGTCTCACTCTGTCGCCCAGACTGGAGTGCAGTGGCCGCTCATGGCCACCGCAGCCTCACCCGCTGGTCTCCGGCGATCCTTCCGCCTCAGCCTTCCAAGTAGCCAGAATTACAGGCATGCACTCATGCCCGGCTGATTTTTTGATTTATTGTAGAGATGAGTTCTTGCTGCCCAGGCGGGTCTTGAACCTGCGGGCTCAGGCAATCCACTCACCTCAGCCTCCCAAAAGCGTGGGATTACAGGCTGAGCCACCGAGCCCGGCTGAGACATTTTTATAGGAATGGAAAAACACATAAAAATGGACTGAAGGACACACATCAAAGCCAAGACACAATTAAGAGATGAGAATGCCCAGGAGGATGGTGGTTAAAGGGGACTTTACTGCCCTTTGTCATGTTTGCCAAACAAGAAAACTTTAATAGGTGAACTTCTGGCACTTTGGGAGGCTGAGATGAGTGGATTGCCTGGCCCGAGGGTTCGAGACCTGCCTGGGCAACTTGGCGAGACCTCATCTCTACAATAAATCAAAAAATGAGCCGGCCGTGGTAGCACGCGCCTGTAGTTCCAGCTACTTGGAAGGCTGAGGCGGAAGGATCGCCGGAGCCCAGCAGGTCGAGGCTGAGGTGGCCGGGAGCGGCCACTTCACTCCAGTCTGGGTGACAGAATGAGACTCCAACTCAAAAAAAAAAAAAATAATAATAATAATAATAATAGAACTTCATATTTTACTCTTTATACTTCTCTGTATTTTCATTTGTTTCTTTTTTTTTTTTTAAGGAGTCTCATTCTATTGCCCAGGTTGGAGTGCAGTGGCATGCTCACAGCCACTGCAGCCTCAATCTGCTGGGCTCAGGCGATCCTTCCGCCTCAGCCTTCCAAGTAACTGAAACTACAGGTGCGCGCCACCATGTTTAGCTAATATTTTTGACTTATTGTAGAGATGAGGTCTTGCCAAGTTGCCCAGGATGATCTCACACCCTGGGTTTGGGCAACCCTCTCACCTCTGCCCCTTTATATGAAAAATAAAGTCATTCAAAAATAAAAATTAAAAAATTCCCTGCTGGGGTTATAGGTGCAAGCCACTGTGCCTGGCTGTATTTTCATTTCTAAAATCTGTGTAAAGAAATACAAGTGGCATTTAAACAAGAGATGTACAATTTCATTTATGATTAATAAATGCAGATAAAAACTTTTATTATTTTTACTTTATTTTAAAGATGTGGGGTACAATTCAGGATTAGGTATACAAGTGGCCATCATACAGGTATCCTGATTAATGTTTTGTCCCCCCCAAAAAAACTTTTTTTAAGAAAGGAAATATATCAAAATGCTAATGGTGCCTGGCTATCTCTGGGGCTCTGAGATTACAAGTAGATTATTTTCTGTTCCTTTGCTCTTGCAACAATTTATACACGTCTATGGTTATAAGAAAAAAAGGGTTTAAGCTCCCCCATCCGGGAGGTGAGATCAAAAGAAGAACGTATAAGTAGACAGATTGCTACAGTGCAGTTCCACTTTAGTTACCAGAAAAAGAAATTTAAGAGCATATTTAATCACATCTAACCCAACATCTTAAAATGGAACTATAATCTAGCAAAGAGTACGCAACTTTTTAGTTGTAGCAGTTATCATGCAGGACAAGTTTAGAACTATTTACACCACCTAACATAAGGACAGCAATAAATAAGCCTATGTTTACTAGCAACTGTCAGCCCAAAGAATAAGACTTTCCATGAAGAATCTGTTAAGAAAAACGTGAAGTAGAACTGCTCCCTCAACAATCAGCACATTGATAGTTCACTCCTATATAGCAACTTCTGCCCCCAAGTCATTTGACTTGAACACAGTAATTAGATATTAACCTAAGCAAGAAAAAAGAGAATTAAGACAAAAACAAAACAAGACTACCCACGACTATCCTACAATAGGGAAGTAGCTCAACAAATTAACGAATGGCAAGTGAAACTGGCAGTCATGTTATATTGTTAGGTGAAAACCACAAGTTATCAAAGAGTCTGTATAGCACGAATCTGTTCTGTTTAAACACAAGGACGCATGCAAACACCATGTACACGTTCACAGAAATCTTTCCTTTGACATCATGTTCACACCTAAAGCACCTCCCCACTTTTGTTTCCTTCACAGTAGAACTTCTTCAACTCTTGGTCTATAACTTCTATGGTTATAACAATTTTCTAAGCATTCCCCCCTCCTGGAGGGGAGAGCAAATGAAGTATATATAACTAATAATTTCTGCCTAAAGAGATTTCTGCCTAAAGCTAGAATGCTACAGGGTAGTTCAAATTTAGTTGCCAGGATAAAAAATAAATTTAAGAGAGCATTAAATCATGTCTGACCCAACATCTTAAAACAAACTATCACTTCAGTCTCTATTTCCTCACCTCTCATTCTCTCCTCAATCTGCTCCAGGCTTCTTCCAACTCTATTACTTCCTTCAAACTGATCTCTTTTTTTTTTTTTTGAGTTGGAGTC